AATGCCTGTGGGATTTAGTAAATCCTCCCTTTAACTTCTGATATTTGTAATTTGGCTTCTCTTTCCTTTTTTAAAAAATTGTCAGTCTGGCTGTCTGTTTCATTAATCTTTTCAAAGAACCGCCTTATACTTTTTTGTACAATTTCAACTCTTTAAATTTGTTAAGACTTTTTTCATGACCCAAAATATAGTCTGTATTAGTGGATATTCCATATGTACTTGAAAAGAGTTTGTATTCTGCATTTGCTGGGTAGAGTGCTTTATACATGTCAGATTCAGTTGGTTGGTGGTAATAGTGAGTTATTCTGTACTAGCAATTCTCATATCCAGGCAATTTTGCTCCTCAGTGGACATTTGGCAATGTCAAGAGACATTATTGATTGTTACAACTAGTGGGCAGCTACTGGCAACCAGTGGGTAGGATCTTCTGGCCTTACTCTGCTAAACATTCTACAGTGCACAAGACAGGTCTTCCCCCAAGCCCCGTCGCCATCCCACCCCTGCTGACAACAAATAATTATCTGGTCTAAAATGTCAATAGAGCCAAGGTTGAGAAAACCTTTTCCTTGCTGATTTTCTCTCTACCTGTTCTATTGACTGCTGAGAGACGAGTATTGATGTCTCCAATTCTAATGGTAAATTTATCCATTCTTCCTTTCAATTTTATGTCTTTGCTTCATTTAAATTGAAGCTCTGCTATTAGGTACATACACATTTAGGATTTTTTGTCTTATTGGTTAAATGCTCATTTTATTAATAAGTAATGGTCTTACTTCAGGTAAATTTTCTTATTCTGAAATATGCTTTATCTGACATTAATAAAGTCACTACATCCTTCCTTTAGTGTTTGCATGGTATGTCTTTTTACATTCTTTTAGTTCAACTCACTTGCTTATTTAAAGTATATTTTCTTTATAGACAACATACAATTGGGTCTTTCTATTTTGTAATCTATCCTGATAATTGTGTCTTTTAATTGGTGCATGTAGGTCACTTTCATTTAATGTAAGTATTGCTTTGTTTGGATTTCAGTCTATCATTTTAATAGTTGTTTTCTGTTTGCCCCTCTGTTCCCTTTTCCTGCCTTCTTTTGTATTATTTGAGTTTTTAAACTTGGTTTTATTCGCATTTATATATTTAGTTTTTTACTATTTACTATATCTTTTTATATATTGCCTTAGTGATTGCTCTGAGGATTAAAATACACATATTTAACTTTACAGCCTACTTAGAATTAATCTTTCACCACTTCAAAAGCAGTGTGAAACCCTTACCACCATATAGGTCTCGCTAACTTCCCCATTATGTAGTAGTTGTCTTATGTATGACATCTACATACTTTGACAACTGCATCACACAGTGTTACTTTTCTTTCAATCACATACATACTTTAGGGGTATTTAGAAGAGAAAAATCCTCCACATTTACTCAGATATTTAGCATTTTCATTGCACTTCCTTTATCCTAAAAGTTCTGAGTTCCTCTCTAGCACAGTTTCCCTTTCACCTGAAGAACTTCCTTGGGCATTTCTTTTATAGCAGCTTAGTTAGTGGCAAAAACTTTTATTTTTCACTCATCTGATAATATCTTTATTTTGCCTTCATTTATAAAGCATACTGTCACAGTCTGGGTTGACAGTTCTTTTCTTTCAGCACTTTAAAAAAGATGTTTCCAGCACCTCTGGCCCCTGTGGTTTCTGATGAGAAACCTGCAGTCATTTCTATTGCTGTTCCCCTGTGGGTGATGTGTCATTGTTCTCTGACAGCGTTCATGTTTTTTCTTTAATTTGGAGCAGGTTGATTATGTGTCTGAGTGTGAATTTCTTTATCTTGTTTGGAGTTTGCTGAGCTTCCTTCCTGTGTTTGTAATTTCTATGTTTTTCATCACTGTTGGAAGTTTTCAGCCATTTTTCCTTCAAATGTTTTTCTGTACCACAACCGTTTTTCCACTCTTTCTGAGATACAGGTGTAAGTATAGGTATCAGCAGAGATAGAGGCATGCGTCACTTCCTGATGTGAATACCTTCTGAGAAATGCATCCTTGGGTGATTTCATCATTGTGTGAACATCAAAGGGTGCAAACCTAGATGGTATAGCCTACTATAGACCTAGGTAGACTACGTGGTCTAGTCTATTGCTTCCAGGCTACAAACCTGTACAGCATGTTACTGTACTAAACACTATAGGCAATTGTAACACAACGGTAAGTATTTATGTATCTAAACCTGGAAGAGGTAAAGTAAAATTATAGTATCATCATCTTACGGGACAATTGTCATATATGCAATCTGTCATTGACCAAAACATCATTATGCAGCACATGGCTATATACACACATGCACATACACACATACACACACACACACTTTTAAAGCAGGACTTTTTACTTTTAAAAAGCACTCAGGTCTATAGTAGGCTATTCCCTTTAGGTTTGTGTAAACGTACTCTTTGATCACTCAATGAAGAAATCACCTCTGCCTTTAAACAGAGGCAGCTCAGGGCAAGTCCAGAGTTGCTATACAACTTTCAGAATCACTTTTCCTGAATTTCTTCCCCGTTGCAATCTGTCTGAACTCTGTGGCTCTCAGGAGCATCTCTTCTCCCCCCACTTCTTGGTCTTCTGGCTGGATTTTGTTTTCTAAATCTGTTGCACACTTCTTGCAACTGTTTCTGCCTCTAGGGCCAAGTGGCAGTAGGGTAGAGAAAACAAAGCAAGCTCCCCAGCTCTGAGGACCACAGTTTAGTCAAAGACAATGCTTCTCTTCTTCCAACTTCTAGGTGCCTGCCTGGATGACTCCAGGGACACAGGGTGGCCTGGGACGAGACAGGAGAGAAGCAAGCAAGCAAACAAACAAAAAACAGACCACAAAACAGATTTCCCTTACTGTCTCTGACCCTTAAAAATCCATTTCCTGTTCCTTGGACCAGAAAGAGAGGTTCTTGTCGGAAATCAGAAATCTTCCTGTCCTTATCTGGTGCAAAGTTTTATGTTCTGGGCTGCCCTTGAGTCCAAAACAAGAGAAATGGTTGAGGGGAGAAAAGGGAGTTCAGGAAACTTGCGGCCAGATTGGTCTTCCCTTTGAGTTGTGGATTTCTTCTCCAATCTGCCTGATATCACTTATCTCAGAGTCCCCAGAGTGTCTCTGTGCATTGTGCCCTAGGCTTTACTTGCTTTCAGGAGTCTGGTGGGACCAAGTGAGCATACCCAATCTTAACTGGACTTGGATTCCACTTTGTTTTTTAAGCTGCTTTATCCCATCTGGTTTCTCAGAGCTGAATGATATAGACAGTTCCATATTGGTGAACATGGTGCTGGCTCTGGAAACCAGCCAATTATGCCCGAAAATAGGGAGTCCACCATTTTTAGAAACTAGGGTGAGCTTACAAGGCCTGTGTAAATGAACATCAATGCTGCCAAGAGCTAAGAACTGTCATTGGTTTACTGTGGAGACCACCATCTATTCCAAGGGGCTGTGATCCATCAGGCCTTTCACAGGGTAGGATCCTCTGACCCTTCAGCTGTGAGTGGTGACAGTGGGATTTACAGTAGGTGTGAGACAGGCTTGCACACATTTCCCTTTGACACTGGGTGACGAAAACATATAACTATATCCCCATGCAGCCTGATTGCTCAATATTCATGTGCTATATCAACTTGGGTTCTAATAAAAGGTATAGGTGATGAAGTACAGAGACTGTAGAGCACCTCTCCCTGCCCATCTCTGCAGGGAACAGAGGCAATGCAAGTTTGTGTCTCCCAAGGGCATACTTCTGCCTGGTTTGGAAATCTTGGTCCAAAAGAAAAAAAAAAATCAGCAAGCAGGAGGCACTGAGTTGTTAAAAAGAAAAGGGGGTCCCAGAACCAAACAGAACAAGAGTTGCATCCTCTTCCTGGCTGCAGACCTTCCTCACTTCTGAGCCTTGGTCTCGCTACAATAGGGGTAATGCTGTGGATCTTGTTGTTGAGGATTAGAAACAATATGTGTAGCAATTTTTAATAACTAACATTAATCAAGCTATTACTATGCACCAGGCACTGTTATAAGTGCTTTATAGTAGATAATTTACGCTCCCTCAGAGCTCTGTAAGGGCGTCTGTTTTCACAAATAAGAAAACACAAGCACAGAGAATTTAAGAAGATTGTGAGTAGAGTTGAGTTGGACTTCTAAGTCAAGCATGCAGAAGACAGAATCCCCATCATATCATATTGACATTCTGCTTCCCCGCACTATGGCAGTCACGGCCATTTATCAAGTTTCTGTGCAGAGGAGTTGAAGTCCAGTGTGAAGGATGTGAGAGGAGGAGAGAAGGGGCAGGAGATGGAAAAGGCAGCATTCTCCATGAGCTTTGCCAGCACCCTTCATTCCCCTGTGTGCTCATGATGGGGAGCTGTGGTGCTGCTGGGCCCAGCAATAGCACACCCTGATACCCCTGGGCTGAGCAACAGGCTTTTCCGCATGGCTACTGTTGCACTGTAGCCAAGGCCTCACTAGTTCCTCTGGGTCCATGAGGAGAAGAGGGATGGGAGCAGTCGGTCTTAGTACCCACCTTATTCTCTAAGATCCAGGCTTATGTTGGCTTGAAAACTCAGTCCCTCCCCAAGAGCCTGTATGATAACTTAAGGAAATCCTAGCTTTAAGCAGGGGTCTAGGAAGGGACAGATATCCAAGAACACACACACACACATGGCCCTGGGTGGCGGGTACGTGACAGTCTGGGACAGTGGAGAGGATTTATAAGTCAGGGCATGGCACAGCTAGAGGGACATTTAGTGTCCTTCAGGCTGACTCTACACCTCCTATTTTAACATCCAAGAAAATCAAAGTCTGAAGAAGGCACACAGTTTGCTGACAATCTATGGCTGGGCTGGGTCCACTTTGCCCTGACTTCTCTCTGCAATCCTCTTTCTTGCTTTTTAAACCACTGAGAGCAAAGCATCATGACGTGGGGGAGCCCAGTGCCCTCTGGTATCTCCTAACCAGATGTTTTCTTATCTTTCAGCAGTTTTTCATGATTTTTCCTCACACTGGTCACTATCCAATCAGAACAACCAACTTCTAACACTCCCTTAGTAAAAGAACATGGCTAAGGGTGAGAAAGGCCCCAAGGGCAAGAAGATCACCCTCAAGGTGGCCAAGAATTGCATCAAAATCACTTTTGATGGGAAAAAGCGCCTTGACTTGAGCAAGATGGGAATTACCACTTTCCCCAAGTGTATTCTGCGCCTCAACGACGTGGACGAGCTGGACCTTAGCCGGAATCTGATCAGGAAGATCCCTGACTCCATCTCCAAGTTCCAGAACCTCCGGTGGCTGGACCTGCACAGCAACTACATAGACAAGCTGCCTGAGTCCATTGGCCAGATGACCAGCCTGCTCTACCTCAACGTCAGCAACAACCGGCTGACCAGCAACGGGCTGCCCGTGGAGCTGAAGCAACTAAAGAACATCCGCACTGTGAACCTAGGCTTGAACCACCTGGACAGTGTGCCCACCACGCTGGGGGCCCTGAAGGAGCTCCATGAGGTAGGGCTCCATGACAACCTACTGAACAACATCCCCGTGAGCATCTCTAAGCTCCCCAAGCTGAAAAAGCTCAACATAAAGCGGAACCCCTTTCCAAAGCCAGACGAGTCGGAAACGTTCATAGACTCCATCAGGAGGCTGGAGAACTTGTATGTGGTGGAGGAGAAGGATCTGTGTGCGGCTTGCCTGAGAAAATGCCAAAACGCCCGGGACAAGCTGAATAGAATCAAGAACATGGCCATGACGACACCGAGAAAGACCATCTTTCCCAATCTGATCTCACCCAATTCTATGGCCAAGGACTCCTGGGAAGACTGGAGGTGACTTGGACCCTGACCCTGAGGCAGAAGGGAAAGAGAGAGGGAGGGAAGAGGGCAGTGGGCTGCAGCCACAGGAAACCAAGGGCTCTCCTGTGGCTGCAGCAGCTCTTTCAGCCAAGCCCATAAAACTCCTTTCTTTACTTCCTCAGCGCGTGATTGTATTGATTGAAGGGCTTTTGGTTCCTTGCCATTCCACACATTTCTCCCTCCTCTGCACACACACTCACAAATACAGGCACAGTGAGTCAGGAAGGGGCTGTCCATGTCCATCCTACTCTTACCCCCAGATCTCTCTTGTTTACCGCTGTGGCCTAGGCAGTTAATGCCCCCACACACTCACTATCGCTGGCATTTCAGAACCCACAACCAGCTCCCAAATGTGAAGTTTATTCAGTGGAAATGTTTTGGGTCTGGGCTTCAAAGGCAAGGAATCTCAGAGCATGAGTTTGTAAGAAAGTAGATGAGCACTTCGTGTTGGGTAGGGGACAGAGGTGGGCCACAGAAATGGGCAGTTTTTATTATTAAGGCATCAATAGGCAGATAGCTTCCTGGGCCCAAAGCAATGTTTTCTCTCTGAACTGAGCTTGCACAACTTGCTCTAGGAGCTTTCTTGGCTAAATCTGCAGACCTCTGGCTGTGAATGAATGAAGTTGTACTACCATCCTATTACATTCAGTGTTCTTTCAGACCCTCATGGGAGGAAGGAAAGAATGGTGGCAAGTATGGATTGGTGCATTCAATAAATCAACACCTTACTCGGCACTGTGCTAGGTGCAGGGGCCGTGTCCCTTTGGAGAAAGCTTGGCTTGCCTGGTGCAAGCTGGTGGAGAGAGTAGCTGAAATGAGATGGGGCAGAGCACCATTGTCTGAGGCATTCAGGAGATCCCGGTCGTGGATGTGCAGGGCTGGCTTGGCAGAGAGAAAAGGCAAAGATTCTGAGGTTGGACAGATCTAGGTCCATGGCAACTCTGCTTCTGACTTGGCATCCCCTTGGGCACCTAACATAGCTTTGGTTCCCTCACTCGTGAAGTGGAAATAATGCTATACCTAACTCCAAGGGTTCTGTGCCTCTAAAACAGGCAGCACATGGAGAACATACTCAGCAGAAGCCAGTTCTCTTCTAGAACCATAACTTGGTTCATTGCAAAGCTGAAATACTACTTTGAACAGTGGTGCCAGTTGTGCTATATCTTTTGGTAGAAAATGACAGCAACCAAGTCAGTCCTCACAATAGCTGAGAACCTTCTCTGGCCTCACTGTGTACCACACTCTCACACCTTCATGTGCATAAAAGAAATGAATCAAGAATGATACCTTGAGGGAGGCTTTTCTCCCCCAGGACTTTCCTATGTTGGTGGCAAGTTTGCTGACTGGATGATGAGAAGCACCAAGAGGCATCCATCAGTGAAGTGGTATTAACTTCTTTCCTCCTCACATTGTCAACCACAGCACACGGCACACTTCATTTCTTCACACCTTGCTGCTTATTTCCTCTTGTATTGCTTAGCTACGACAACCCTATCATGTTTCTAAAACCTTGGGAGAGCTAGATTCAAAATTTTCATTTTAGTTTTTCCCTTTATTAAATGTTTTTCATTGTAGAAGTAACAGAACCACAACATACTACTAAATATAGTAGCTTAAAGCATCCATCATTCCACAGTATAAGTCAGCTGCAATGCTGGCAGAGTTCCTTACTAGTTATTTTTCTGTATATATTTTTATACATAGTTAAAATTATAGCATTCCTGTCATTTCTGTCCTGCTTTGAAACCCATGCTGTCACCTGGTATTAATAACCACACTTTAAAACATCTGCAAGATAGTTATTCTTGTAGATATACATAACTATAAGTTACTGTTGTACCTTTATTTTCAGGTTTCACTGATGGGAATAGTCTTGTGATGAGAGCCTATATAACTAAAACATTTTAAAATATTTTTAATTATTTCCTTGGCATAGCCTCATTATTGGAAATATTGTGTTAAAGGGTGTGTTTTAACAATAATGTTGATACCTGCCATCAAGTAGCTCATAAAAGGTTTACACACATTTATATGCCTACCAGTAGTGTAGTAGAGAACCCATTTCACGGCATCCTTGTCCACACTGAACTCTGTCCTTCACATTTTTCTCTTCACCTAATGTCCGAAATGACTCATGAGAACCCCTTCTGAAGCTGAGGGGAGCAACCGTGTCTGAGACATGTGTGATGAGACACCATGCTGTAGGTATAGGAGCCACCACTAGCCTGCCAGGTCTTGGACATGTCCACAAGGGAGGCAATCTGCTATTTCAGTCACTTCATCTCTGACCCAAAAGGTATAGAGTCCATGCAGAGACGTATGATCGAGACAGAGTGCTGGATAGCTACATGAAAACTTTCCATTTCAGTTTCTCCCCCTTCAGACACTTTTTCTTTAGAATTAATTTTCCCTCCTTAGGTATTCAAAAGGTTCAGCAAAGGAGAGAAGTTAAGAGAAACATCAAGGTTACAGATCCCACCTGGTGCCTTAGGGTTTGCCGGTCCACATCCTCTTTTCCCCACTGCAGCACTCTCCTTGCCATGCTTGGTCCTCAACACCCTTACTTGCTGCCAACTGCTTGGCTGGCCTGACACTCACTCCAGCCTTGCTCTGGGGCTTTTATCATGCTTTCCCTCTTATCACACATCTCAGGAAGGAGTTTCAGGTGCCTTTAACTTTACCAGGATTGAGACATACCCAGGCAGTGGGCTGGGTTTGCCTCAATGTGTTCAAGTCAGACACCTCTTTAGCCAAGAAATGCTGGCAGCAGGACAAAGCAGACTGGAGATAGAGACCAGTTAGGAGGCATCTTCTGCATCCTATTTCTTTTTCTGCCAAGGAAAAGGTTTGATGTTGGTGTTCCTTCATGCTCTAAAATACCTCAGTCACCTTTACTTCTTATAAATTGAATTAAGCATAAAGATACTTCATAGGAAAGCCTTGGGGGTTCTCTTTCCTCGAATGCAAAAAAACCAAAAAAACAAAAAAAACAAAAACAAAAACAAACAAAAAAACACCCTATTCACACTAACCTGACCATCCTGACCTTGGTGAGCTGGTGTGACCTCTGCCTTTGCTGTGTTTGCCTCTGTGGTCTGGAGCAATTGCCTCACCCTCTTTTGTCTCCATCCCCAGAATACGCTCAACATCTTCCTAAAGTAGCTGTGGCAAAAACTTGAAGACTACTCAGCTAACAGAATAAACGACTCTGAAGAGAAGAAGCCCCCAGTTAGGAGAAGACAAGAGTGGCAAGTGAGATGTTCTGGAAACCAGGCTCGCCGGAGCTAGCCAAGTATCCGACTTGCTTCTCAAATTCACTTCACCTCCCTTAGCTTTAGCTCACCTGCATGTGAAAATGACTTTGGGAAATATTTGATGTGGTTTTAAAAATGTATATAGAGGAAAAAATTTAAGAAAATTACAGATTATATATTATAGACAACTAAATATTTAAGACTTTAAGACTTAAAAGGCTTACTGCCTCTACATTTCACTCAGACTAGTACATCTCGATGCCAGTAGACTGTGATGTTTGTGTAGGTATGACATACTGACATGGTTTGCACATTTGTCCCCTCCAAACCTCATGTTGAGATTTGATCCCCAGTGTTGCAGGTGCAGCCTAATGGAAGGTCATGGGGGTGGATCCCTCATGAATGGCCTGGTGCCATCCTCTTGGTAATGAGTGAGTTCTCACTGTATTAGATCCTGTTGAAAATTGTTAAAAAGAGCTTGGCACATCCCTCTTCTCTCTCTCTCTCTTCCTCTCACCAAGTGATGCCTGCTCCCCTTCTCCTTCCACCATACCTATACCCTAAAGCCCTCACCAGGAGGCGCTGGCACCTGTACAGCTTGCAAGAACCATGACCCAAATAAATTTCTTTTCTTTATAAATAGCCTTAAATATTCCTTTATAGCAATGCTAAGACACCTCAAGCAACTCCAATTTATACAAAAAGTTATATAGAAAAATATTCTAAAAAATACTATAGATAAGGTAGAATTTTAACAAATCTTTTAGTGGTGCATAGGTAGGCAGGAAAAAGAAAACAGAGAAATGAACAGGAAAAAACAAAAAATAAAAATAAAATGGCAGACTTGTATTCTAACATTTTGATAATTACAATAAATGTAAATGATCTGCTTTATTTATAATGACCACAAAATAGAAACAACCAAATGTTGCTCAATGCACAAATTGTTAAACAAACTCTGGTATATTTCTCTCACGCAATACTACTCAGCAATAAAGAGGAACAGACCATTGATACATGCAACAACTTGAATGTATCTCAATGGCACTATTTTCAGCTAAAACAAAAATGCCCATCTCCAAAAATCACATACTCTATGATTCCATGTATAGAACAGTCTCTAAATGAAAAAATAATAGATATGGAAAACAGATTGATGATTCCCAGGATTTAAGGATGGTGGGGAAGACAGGGAGGGGGCATAACTATAAAGTGGTCGCACAGAGATATCTTTGTGGTGATAAAATAACTGTGTATGTCGGCCGGGCGCGGTGGCTCAAGCCTGTAATCCCAGCACTTTGGGAGGCCGAGACGGGCGGATCACAAGGTCAAGAGATCGAGACCATCCTGGCTAACACGGTGAAACCCCGTCTCTACTAAAAAATACAAAAACTAGCCGGGCGAGGTGGCAGGCGCCTGTAGTCCCAGCTACTTGGGAGGCTGAGGCAGGAGAATGGCGTAAACCTGGGAGGTGGAGCTTGCAGTGAGCTGAGATCCGGCCACTGCAGTCCAGCCTGGGTGACAGAGCGAGACTGCGTCTCAAAAAAAAAAGAAAAAAAAAAAAACTGTGTATGTCGATTGTGCAGGTGGTTACCCAAATCTATATATGATACAATGACAAAGAACTATGCATACACATGTGCCAGTGTCAATGTCCTGGTTCTGAAATTGTGCTATAGTTATATAAAATGTAACCATGGTGGGGGGGATATTAAGTGAAAGGTGCACAGAGTCTCTCTGTACTATTTTTGAAGCTGTGAATCAATATTTTGAAATAAAAACAAAAAACAAAAATCTTACAGCCTAGATGCAACAATCAATAGACCCTTATACGTCTGCCCAGTGCTGATTTATGAGGCATTATGGCAAGCTTAAAGTGAGAATCTAAAACACCGAGTCAGCCTAGAGATGCAATTGAGGCACACAGTAAGGCAATTCAGGCACCTTAACCTCGGCTCAGCCAGCTAATCTAAAATTACCCACTGTTGATCTTACTCTTGCAGATTCCTGAAAAAGTTGCTAAAATAAATAGAAACTGCATGAATTCTCTATGCCCCAGGTTTTCTGGAGGTAGCTGGGCACAGGTGGCAACTAGGATGGGAGAAACCTTGAACCAGTGGGTTGCTCATCGCTATTCCTGGGCACACGTGTTCACGACCCCTGGTGGTGTGGGAGTATAAGGTTGTGGAAGCAATGTGGCTGGGTAGAGTTGGAAGGGAAAAGGGCAGGCTTGCTGCAGTGACTGGGGCTTGCATCAGGCTTTTGCCCTGGGAGGGATCTGAGGTTATGGCTAAGGATACAGCAGAGACGAGGCATGAACTGAGTGCAGCCAGACAAAGATGAACATGGAATGCGGTCAGGGACAATGTCTGAGCATGACCTAGGCAGAATGGCCAGGGCTCGGATGCTCATGGCCCACGAAGCCAACCGTGTGAACAAGCTCCTAGACGCTGCAGCACTGGCTGTCACTCTCATTTTGAGTCTGCAGCCAGGTACCATTCACCTCTGGTCCCAGTGACTCCGGTATAGACACAGGGTATGAGTAGCTTGGTCTCCACAGTTGGCTTCCAGAGCTTCAGTTCGGCAAGAAACCCAAGGACATGCTTCTCTACTCCATGGTGGAGCCAGCACTACCTTTACCAGTTAAGCAATTGTGTATCTTACAGATCTGTAGCCAACAGCATGAATCTCTAGGGGGCAGGATTGAAGGAAGAGAAATGCTAGGAAGGGGAACTTGAACTTTAGCCTCCCCCCAGCTAACTGTGGTTCCTCTGGGGTGTGGTTAATTTTTCATGGAAGCTCATATTCTCATGGGAATCGCATAGGTTCTTATGGTTGCTTTTCTAAATTATTTGTCTTTCGTTATTTTTCAGAGAGAATCTCTAAAGGAAACAATAAGCAAAATGTTCAACTGTAAAACTTTGCACCCTCAAAATAAATTTCATTCTAAACATTATATATATAAAAATTTATAGAATTAAGAAATGATTTCAGGAACTGCAAATACCCAGGTACAATCAGGCCCTGAATGTAAGTGCCATCTCACACCCAAAAGCTTTCTCCAGCCCAGGGACGCTTTTGCCTCAATGACATGGTGGATGCTCCAGTTTAGCCAAAAATATGTGCTGAGCCCAAGAGAGATTTGAGAGAAAGAGAATCAGATAGGCATCCTAGCCTTGTATTTCTCTGAGTTTTCTAAACTCTGGGCTCAATATGAACTGAGGTCATTAGAAAGCAATGTAACTGAGCCAGGTAATGTTAGCTTCCCAAAGGAATGCCTGTACAAAAATAAGTGTGAATGTTAGGCTCCCATTCCTGCAGAGAACTGATGCAGAGAATTAGGTTCCCCAGCACTCTTTTTGTATGTTTTATTAAAAAGGAATTGCCACCTTTGGTACCCATGATCCTTTAGAGAAGAACCAAATTTGATATTCAGCACCAAGAGAAAATATGTTCCAGAAATAAAAAAAAAAGTTGCAAAAGCCTGTTTCTTATTATATATCCCTGGAAAATAATATAAGCCAACATGATTGTTTGTTTTAGTTTTCTTAGTCTCAGTACAATTAGAGTAACTAAATCACTCCACATGATCACATCTATATTTTTCCCCTTTAAAGGAGTGTTGGGTAATTGTTAAAGGATGGTTGTACCCTGTGTTTAATTTTGAAGCTGTCTGTAGCCCTTTCTGGAAGGGCATGAGTACATTTAAGTGTGAGGATGTGTGTTTATCCACAAGAGCATTCCAGCTAGCTGCCCCCTTTCCCTGCAGTTCCTGCCATCATTTCTCCTTTTCTGATTCATTTTTTTACATCTCAAAGATCCTGCCGGTATTCAACACCACAGAACAGGACTCATCCAACAGCTCTAGCTGGCATATGTTAGAAGGCCCTGTCAGCTTGCAGAACCTTGCACCCCACAGAAGTCTGAAAAGGCTGCCATGCTGTCTTCAAAAGGTTCAGTCCTGTACCATGGGGACAGGATTCATGCAGGCTTTACAAGTATTTTCCACTTGGAATTCAGGCCCAGAGAGCCTCCTTAGTGTGTGTGTGTGTGTGTATGTGTGTGTGTGTGTATATATATATATATATATATATATATATATATATATAGATATATATATAGATATATATATAGTTATGGAGGCAACCATTGTCACTGAAAGCCTCAGCAAAACTCTGGTACCAAAAGCTCTGATTTCCTGTGTGTGTGGGATGGTGTTCAAAGGAGCCACATGAGTCATCGAAAGCTGAAGGTTTAGGACGTGAAAATCTGTAGCCTAGGCCGAGGGTCATGGGCCAGTTGAAAACCCTCAGAACGGCACACACACCCCCTTAATAGGTAAGAAGTCCACATTCATTAGAGTGACTAACAAGCAGCTAGGCATTTTTCAAGATTCATTCTGTAATTATGGCCTCCAGTGATCCAAAAGAAAAATCATCAGCTTCATTCCAGGAATATGTCAGTGGCCAGCCAAGCCTTCCTAAGGCTGAGGACCACCACTGCCTTCCCACCCTGGAACTCCTGAAGCCACAATTGAGCTGGCAAGAGAAGGGCTGGAGAGGGGGCCACTCCAACAAGCTGAGAACAAAGAGAGCCACCTGCTTTTAATCAATTGTTCTGTTAGCATGCCCAAACATACATGAGGTGATTCTAAAAGTAGGCAGAAGGATTACAATTTACTGGGCGCCTACTATGAGCCCAAGTCAGCTTGATCCTGAAGCCAGGGCTGTTTATTTAGCACAGTCTTGCCACAAGCCCTCACTGCATGGGTGGCATCAGAGCCGAGGGTCATCACTGCGGGGTGTCCGCATGTTGCTGAGGCTCTCCTTCCATGAGCTGAGATGAGCATTCCTCTGGAGCACCATGCACTGTTGCTAGTTGACCCCAGAAGCTTCACCAATGGTCTCCAACCTGGAGCTGTGCTGAGACTGTGCCAGGCATGACCCAGCATAACTCTGGAAGACCCTGCTCCAGTGGGATCAGGTAGCCATGATGGCAAAAATAATCACATTGGAAATAAAATTAGAATGGGGCTCAGCTGTACCACAGAAGCAAGGTGGTACACAGGTTGGCATTGCAGGTCATCATCAACCTGGGGATGAGTAAGGAATAATCTCCAGACATTTGACTCATCCACAGAGCATCATCTTCCTCCAACCTGGCAATCATTTCTGAGGGGCCTCTAACTTAGTGGGCACAGCTGGGGGTCAGCTCCTCTTCTGCATTCCTCCCTCTGCCCCTCCTCTACCCGCCCCTCTCTATTTGGAGTAGAAGGTGTGTGGAGGAAGGTATGTGTTTCCAGGCAAGGCACCACTAAGATTCTCAGGACAAAAGACGAAGAATGGACAAAGAGCTACCCACAGTCATAGGGACAACTATGTTGTCACTGAGTGACATTACAGAATAGGTTCATCTAAGGGTGAGCTGCAGAGACAATGAGGCTCAGCGAAGTGATGTGTGCCACGGTTGATGCAGCATTGCTCCAGGGAGAGAGAAAACCATCTGTAGCCCATGAGCACTGCGGCTTGGAACTTCCCTCTGCGTGGAACTGTGAGTGGCCACCTGCTTTTGCTGACACCCTCAGTGCTCACCCCCTTGTGGATAACAGAACCTTGATTCTCCCAAGGAATCATACTCCTCTCAATTTGGTCTATGTAATTGGGTGGGACTGACCCTATCCCCAGAAGCGGGGTGGGTGCATCCGTCTGATCCAGCCAATGAAAACATTTGATTGGTTCTGGTATGGGCATGTAATTAACCTAACTGGGGAAAATGACAGTTCAGGAAGTTTTGCTAAAGTTACCGGGATAGAGCATGTGGTGGGATTCCTGCGTGATTGACTGTCAGTCTGGAGCTGTTGGGGGCATCGGTGCCCCTGTGATGAGAACGTCTACTGAGAAATGGAGCCAGACCAAGCAAAATCCTCCCTGAGAGAGGGAGAACCGCCACTTCCTGCAGACTTACTTGTGCCTAGCGTTCCAGCCATGTCTGGAGCAAGACCATTTTTGACCTTCAGGTAGATGTGATCATGAATCCTCTTTTTTTGCTTCAATTAGTTTGAAATAGCTTTTTACCTTGCTATTTTGAAATAGCTATTTACCTTGCTGAAACACTGCTAAGAAATCCAAGTATGAACATAAAGGCTTATATGAAACATAAACAATATGAGATCAGCAGGGCTGAGATTCAGCAGATATGCACAGTTAGGACTATCCTGTTGTTGAACTATTAAACTATACCCATTACAGTTGGTGAACAGCCACCCCAACTCCAGTGACCCACTGCTGCCTGGGTCCCCTGGACCATACCCTGGTATGCCTTGCACTTCACCGCAATCTATAAAGGGTAGGTGCCTGACACAATAAGAGCCTCCACTAGCAGCCACTATAATTAGTCTATTGAAGGTCACCAATGACTCTCATGTGACAAAGCTCAATGGTCATTTCTCAGTTCTTATCCCACTTGGCCTATCAACAACACTTGACCACTCTCCCTTGAATCACTCCACCTGGCTTCCAGGACGTCTTCCACACCTACAGTTTCTGCTACCTTTTTGGTTACTCCTTCCCCATCTCTTCAGCTGTCCCTGCCCATGTCCTTATCCTCTAAAGGTTGGTGTGCCCAGGGCACAGTCCTCTGATCTCTTTTCCATGTGCATGTATTCTCATAATCTTGCCCATTCTCATGACTTTAAACACTATTCTAAATTTATGTCTCACTTGAACCTCTCTCTTGAACTCCAAATTCATATGCCCAATAGCTCCACAATGCCTTTGAGATG